GGGTGGGGTTTTTGTTTGTTTGTTTGTTTATTTCTCAGCAACAAGAGGAGTAGCTGATTTAAGAACATTCAGTGGAAGTCATATTAATCCTTGGCATAGCAAGTAATTAAAAGTTTTGCTGCTACACACTCTCGAGACAGTGTATATAGCACATAGAGCTCTGAAGAGGCAAAGCCCACATATTATGGCTCCTTACATTGCTGTTACTTGCAGGCCTCCGAGCTCTCAAAAAACACTGATTACTTCACAAAATATGGTGTTCTGTAGTAACCCCTGATCATTTGATTAGAATTACGTAAAATTATTATACCGTCCTCCTGGTTTATTCCTCAGTAGTAAAATTCACAGGAAAAAAACAAACAAAAACAAAAAACCTTAAAGTCAATACAAAACAGCTGAGAATGGAATGGCAAGCCATTCTTCCTTGTCATAAAAAAAGAAAAGCATAGTAAACTCGTATTTTAATAAAGAGGAGTGTTCATCGTAACCATCCCTTTCCCACTCAGGTCTGAGAACATAGCTTGGTTGATGGGACATTGGCACAGCATGTATGAGGACCCAGGCATAATCCCCAGTACCTCATGGACCAGGCACAATTGTGCAGGTGCCTGTGGTGCCAGAACTCATGGTGGAGAAAGGAGGAGCAGAAGTTCATAGTTATTTACACCTATGCAGTAAGCTCTAGGCTAGTCATTTCAAAATAGGCTAAGCAAGCTTTAAGTTGGAAAGAATGGAGGGAGGAAGGGATGTCGAAAGAATTTTGAATCATGCCTGTTAATAAATAGTTATCCTAAAGTAGCCAGACTCCGCTGAGTACTCACTCTATGTGTCCTGAATCAGGCACGGAATTCTTAAAACTTTATATACAAATCATATATAATCTTTCCCATAGGACCCTGGGCTCCACACCCATTATTATTATTGTTTTAAAACAGATATCATTTGAAATTTAAATTATTATCTGCATGATAAAAACTGAGGTCCAAAGAGGTGAAGCAACATGTCTGAGGACCTAGACCAGAGTCAAGCCCTGGTGGTAGGAAGCATCTTGCTGCATAACCTGAAAAGAAAATCAAGGATTTAGGGACAGTGAAGAAGAAGGAGGACCTAAGTTCAGCTGGCTTTCCTCACTGCATGCCCTGGAATCCTTATGTTAAATGCATTTTCAGAAGTCATCCTTTTCCATTTGCCTGTACATAAAGTTAAAAATCAAACTCAAAACTCAAGCTCTGGGCCTAAGTACAGTTTTCTGGGTACTTTGGGGGAGAGGATTGTGATAAAACTAGTATCTTATTTTGCTGCTTGTAAAAATCTGCAGCAATAAAACTGCACCACAAAGAATATCAAGCTGAAAAGAGCCTTCTTTTTCAGATGGCCTAATGCATTATAAGATATACTAATTACATGATATTTCTAAGCTATTTTTCTTATACCTACTAGAGTAGAGCAGAAACACCTAAATGAAGGTGGTAATTTTATTGATTTGGAGTTTTGTTTTGTTTTGTTAAGATGGTCTCACTACGTAGTTTGGCTTGAACTTGGTATACATACCAGGCTGGCCTCAAGCAGAGACCCACTTGCTTCTGCCTCCCAGGTGATGGCATTAAAGGCTGTGTCACTACGCCTGTCTGATTCGGGCCTAAAATCCCTCCCAGTGGCTCCCATTGAGAAGGCTTGGCCTGTAGATCTGGGAGGTGGGTGAGGAGGGAAGGTTAATGGGAGAACGGCCTTAGAAGGCTCTGGGCCCCTTCTTTGTCTCTCTTTCTTTCAGATTACTGACTACCATCATGGGGCAAGCAGTTTTGTTCTGCCGCTCCTAATGCCGCCGTTCTGCTCTTCCATAAACCCACATCAACCACCTCTAATGGAGTGTGGTCTCGCAACCCGTGGTCGCTCCATGAGGCTCACATGTCAGGCATCCTGCACATCAGATATTTACATTACGATTCATTACAGTAGTGGAACTACAGTTGTGAGGTAGCAAGGAAATCATTTACGCGTCGGGGCCACCACAACGTGAGAAGCTGTACCAAACTTGCAGCACGAGGAAGGTTGGAAACCACTGCTCTGGAGCTTCCCCTGGTTGTTCCTTCTTGCTTCTGAGTTGATTATCTCAGGTGTCTTTTTGCTGTCATAAATCTGACACAGCTTCTGAGTAAGCACTGATAAAAGACAAAAACAAAACAAACCCTCCTGATGTTTACTGGGCCTCCCCCGCCCTCCTTTTTTGAACTGCTAAACCTTCAGGAGAATCCTCACTGTTTTCATACTCCATTTTATAACCCCATTTCTCCAGGAGCCCAAGTTGGCCTCATTCTGCCTTTGACTCTGCCAACTGCAGGTCTGCAGGCACCGGGACAATCAGCAAATGTGCTGCAGTAGCCGAAGGCAGGTCCAGAGCAGGCGCTCCGGGACTGTTCTCAGCAGTGACAGCCAGCATCACTGCATTTAAACCCAGCCTGCCGGGGGGGGGGGGGGCTTCTGAAGGGGAGAAATATTCATTTGAATGTGTAAATACAGGCATATTTATTTTAATGCCTGGATTAAAAGCTGAAAGCATCAGCTGGCATCGCTACGTCGAAGCGGATAAATACACGGCTGTGATACTGATGTTGCGGATTCTTGATGCAAAGGGTCAGGCCGTTCAACAAGCTCTATATGAACGCGCCTGGCGCAACAAAAGCTAAGCTGGATATAATGTTTTGAAATATAAGTGTGTTTTTCTGTAAGTTTGCATAGCTATTGAAGACTTCTCTTTCTTGAAGGAAAAAAAAAAAAAAAACACGAAACAACCAAAAAGATAAATTAAAAAGCAACACCAACATCACCAGCAACAAAACAAAAAAATCAGAAACCAGACCGGGAAATCTGTGGTGGAGCATAATTCCAATAGGAGAATTATGTGGAAGTAGGTGGATTTCTGTAAGTTCAAGGCCAGTCTGGTCTTCTAGTGGACTCCAGGCCAGCCAGGAATACACAAGACACCATGAAAATAAAAGAAACAAACACACAGAAAACCAGACCCACTAAACGTTAGTTTCTAAAACAGTTCTTGGGAATTGGGGCTGTAGTTGAGGTGTAGAGTACCTGCTTAGCAATGTGCTAGCCTCTGTGTGTGAACTTCCACACTGCAAAAAAACCCTAAACTGCTTCCAAGTGTGTTGGCACACACTTGTAATCCCAACACTTGGGAAATGGAGACACAAGAGTTAGCTATGTGATAAGTTTGAGGCCAAGACTGGGCTACATGAGACCTTGTCCCCCCAAAACTAAGGTAAACAAACAGACTAGAAAACAGCCCTCTGCTTTCTCAGGGGCAGGCACCTCAGTGTGTGCCAGAGGATGAAGCTGTTCTCACAGCCATAAGACATTCTTTCCCAAAGCCAAGTACCTCCCAAAGCGAAGAGATCACAGCTACCAGTTACCGTGAAGCAAATAAACTGCTCACCACAAAAGAGCAGCAATATAGGATAGGTCAAAATGCTCAGCATTAGTTAAATGAAGAGACTTCCACAACCAACCGTGCTTTGATCATGTTTTTAGATATGCGTAGACACCTGACCTCTGAGAATGCCAGCGATGGAACAGTACAAGGATGGAACAGTACAAACGAGGAGGCAGGCCTTGAATAAACTTAACAGGGCAGATGTGGATAACTTCTTATTAACGGCGAGAGAAGAGACCTTCGCTGATACGAACACCTATCACAGTACGCGAGAACACATGAAGTTTGCCTGTGAAATGCAGTGTCCTCCGGCTCGGTTGTTCTCTCGGAAGCTGCCTCTCACTGCACAAGAGCAAACAGTACCTGTGGAGTATAACTCTACATTACATGAGTTCTGTGCAAAGCACAGAAGGTCGATAGCCCTTATGTATTTGAAATCTCACTCCACGACTATTCCCTTTAGCATAGTCTCCTCTCATCACATCCCCCAAACAAAGCCATCCCTAGTCCAGGTCAGAAACATGAGGTGCCACTTAAGACAAAATGCTCACCGGAATCAGGGGTCTCTCTGTTATCACTGGGTACCCACAACTGCTCAGAAAGCTGAGGCTCTTGGCTGCCTCCAGCTCCTGGCAACTGGTCCCCCTCCCACTAGGTCCTCGGTACTCTTGGGCTGGCGAACGCTGGGTCCCTACTTATCCTGTCCAGATTTCCTCAATCCGCTGCTGTCAAGGGGATATCCTCTTGAGGTGTCCAAGACCACCTCCACCGAAAAGACATTTCCAAGAAAAGACAGATATTCCCATCACTGTCCCGACGGACCACCTCCGCCCCTTCATTTTCCCATCCCTCAGTCCACCATAGCCCCCAAGTCAGCAACCCAGGGCTTTCAGCAAAACCAAGCTCTCTGCGGTGTCTCCTTGGAGAACCCCTGCTCCATCTTCCCTAAGGAGGAGCTCAGGCCTCTCTCACCTTACTCTTTCCGGGGTTCTCCTCCCTCGGGCACCCTTCCACCCCCCCGTTCTTCCTCTACTCTGGCATTCCCCTCCGGGGTTCCTTTCCCCTCTGCCCTATGGAGGGCGCCCAAAGATGCGCACAGGACTTTCCCTCTAGATCCCGTCTCTTCTGCTCTCTGGGCTCAGACACCCTTAGTTCAGGATCCTGACATCTACTCCAACCCCCTCCTCACCCCACCCCCGCTCTCCAGGCTCCCATCCCCTAGCTCCTCACCATCGCAGTCCGGATTCCCTAGCCCCAGCCCCTCAGCGCTCAGCAGCTCCCCAACTCCACTGTCTGAACTGCCTGCACTGCATTCTAAAAACCGGTATTGAAACTACAACATCGGGTCCCAGCCCCGGCCTCTAGGGTCGGGGTACCTGGCAATGCCGGTCTACATCCCTTCTGCAGGGTCAGGTCCGGCGCTCCCCAACGCCGAGATCCTTACATCCCCGCCTCCTGGTTCTGGCAGAGGCTCCCCAGCATCGCAGCGGAGACCTGCTCCCTGCCGGGCTTCCCGCTGCACCCCACTTTCCCGCCCCCCTGCGACCGGACTCACCAACATCAGGCGCGGCCGTGCAACTGCAGCCCAGCCCCGCCAGCCGCCCTCCCGTCTCGGGCTCCGGGAGAACTCCCTTCGAGCGGCCCTGACGGCCGAGGGCTCTGCACCCGAGAGCGGCCGGGAGGAGGGGACAACCCTGGCGGCGACGCCCAGCTCCGCCCTTTCCCGGCCCAGGGGAGGGCTGCACAACCGGGAGCACACCCCGCTGCCACAGCCGCCGCAGCCGAGGAAGTTGCCTGACGCCGCTTCCTTCCACCTACCTTCAGGCCCTCGCCACCCTCCCCCACCGTTCACTGCAAACTCCTGGGGGCTTGAGACCGCAAGGGGTGCGGGATGCACTCTTGCGTTCTTCCCCAAAACCGTTTCCTGTGTCCCTCGGGAGGGGGAATAACAAACTTCTTCTGCCATTTCAGGAGCCTCTTCCAATCCCGGCTTTCTTTTCTCTCATTGCCCCAGCGTGAGCATTCACGGTAATGCCCAGGAAATCACGCTGTGCACCCCACGGAAGCCCTGCAGACACATTTTCACGTCGAAATGCAAGACTCATGCTTCTGCTCTGATTGCGTGTGTGAGCTCATGGAACATGCTGTGCCAAGCAGACCCTCGGCCCATGTAACCTCCATCCAGAAAGTCTGCCCACAGTGGCCGGAATTGTTCTTCACCCACAAAGCACTCTGTATTCATCATGATTTTTTTTAAATCCATTTAGGAAGCAAGGCCATCAGTTAATAATCATCAGATTGGCTTTGCTGCTCAAAAGCTGCCTGCATCGTCTCTGCAGTCCCCCTGGGAGAATAGACAGTCTCTGACATGAACTCGGCTGCCTGCTCCTTGATCACTTCTCCCTGGTGGGGTGACCTAGCCAACCCACAGAGGAAGAGGATCCAGGCAGTCCTGATGGGACCTGATAGGCTAGAGTCACACAGTAGGGGAGGCAGACTCCCCTTCCAGTGGACTAAGGAAGAGGGATAGGGGAAGAAGCGGGGGGGGTAGGACCGGGAGGACATGAGGGATGGGACTACCACTGGCATACAAAGTGAATAGATTGTTGTTAATCATCATCATCATCATCATCATCATCATCATCATCATCATCATCATAGAAAAAAAAAGCTGCCTGCCTGCCTTATCAGGAAGAAAGGGAATGGAAAGGTCAGAGCCAGGGAAGATGGCTTTTATCAGTTTCCTCGTAGGAGCTCCATCTTCACTACATTTGGGCTGATTCCTGGACTACTGAATTTGTATTCATTTTGTTTACACTCATCCTGTCCCAGCCAGGAAACTTTCTTTCCTTCTTTCTTTCTTTTTCTTTCTTTCCCCATTCCCAACATTTCAACATCTGTTATTTGATGTGTCCTCAGCAAAACACCTGGAAACAAAGTGAGCTGTTTATTCAGTAGGATTTTTTTTTTCTCCATTCCAGAAATGAAGATGTTTGGATTCTGGGCTGTTACAGGGCAGGTTGAAGCAGATTCAGACCTGGAAAGAGTCTACAGACCAGTCTGAGTTCCCACAGGACAGTAGCCTAGCACGCAAGCCGTGGGTGCTGACGCTCCAGGAGGCTGTGTAGGCCTGCTGCCTTCGCTTCTGCTTTACCTCAGAGATGTCTAGGCTGCTCTCATATCCTGGGAAGCTGTGGCCTTCCACATTAGCAAGCATTCGTTATTTTATCCAGAGAGCTCAGCAATACAGCAACCCTAAGAGGGAGGTACCACCCCCACACACACACTTTCTGCTCAGACCTAAATTAGAAACAAGATTATAAGTCCCCAAACTGAGGGTCTAAACTGAGGCTCAGTTCATCTGATGTGAGCTACTGCAAGAACACGAGAGCGTGTGAAACGAGAGAGCGGCTTTGGCCATTCTCTCGGGCACCTTGCACCCCTGGGAGAGCTCCTTCCTCTCCAATGGAGATTAATTCATCATATACACAGGATCCTAAACTGTGGGTTGCAATCCTGCACTAGGGAACCAAAGGTAGGGCTGCAAAAGCCCTGACAACCGTAAAAGGTTTTTGAGTTTTTGCCTAAGCACAAATCAAAAATCAAATGCACGAGGAAGCCGAGGTGTCGCTGGTGTCCCTAGCCTGTGGTGTGTGGTGCCATTCTACGGCAGCCTCAGCTGTTTACACACAAGCTCACATCGCACTGTGCGTGCCATTATGACACGCAACCGCAGGCAGCATAGCCTGAAGTGCCTCTGCTCAGAGCCCAGATCCTAGATTAAGAATTGCAGTGTTCTGGCTGTACACGGGGTTTTCTGCTCTGACCAGACACCGCAGTTCAATTACAGAAAACAAAGGCTTTTTTGCTACTTTTCTCCTGTCACTCCTCAGCGTGTTTAGTGTCAAAATAGCATATCTGTGTGGATTGTAGGTGTGTCAGAGTGCTTAGTTCTGTAAATTGTTCCTTGCATGGCTGACTTAAATTTCACTTAAGAGCTGTTAAGTGAACTTCAGTTAAAGATTAGGACAGAGTTTCCAAACAGTTGCTGAAATGTCCCTCACACTCTGTGCTGTGCATTCATGTGAAACTGTGTTCCCAGAATTAACAATCATAAAATCAAAGTATGGATCCACCACCTCCCCCCAAAACACTGAAGAGGTTCCACATCTCTGAGTCCAAAATATTCAGCCAGTTTAAGCCACTGTAAATAGAAACAAGCACACACATCTCATCAGTGGGCTAATTTGATTTTGTCTATAATAAATGGCAAAGTCATTTGTATGCCAAAGAATGTCCTAATGCAATGCTCTCCTTGTTTTTATTGGGGGCCGTAGGGAAGGGGGCCTCTTCCACCTGTGGGAATGTTCACAGGTTCTCTAACCATTGCAGGCTTGTACCCTAGGGGGCAGTGGGGATGGGCATGGGGGTGGGTGGGTCTAGTGGCTTCGGATGTGGGACATGCTCTCAGTATCTCACTGGGTAATTGCAATGTGTGACCTTGTTATTGCTGTTGACATATCTGGTGTAGTGGCAGAATTCCACCCAGGCCTATGGTGGTGATGGTGAAGGAAATGGCTAGTACCAGCTGCTTTGCCCAGGCATTCTCAAAGTAGAGAGCCTCACAGCTACCTTGGTCTCAGAATAGGCAGCCTAAAGTAATCACTGGTGATCGTTTTGTTTGTAGTACTATTTTCTATACCTGTATACATGGGGTTGTGTAAGCATTTCTGGGGCAATTGAGTAAAAAGGTTTAAGAAGTCATACTTGAATCGTTTCTCGCCGGCAAATTTCCTTTTCTTATCGCCTTTCCTGAAAGACAAGTGTGTGTGTGTTTGTGAAAACACCCAGACGTTGATATCTGGGTGAGAAACCCTGTTCATCCCTAACTTTCCCAGAACCACTAGATAACTAGGAAAGTTTTCTCATCATTCAAATCTCTTAAAAATACTTGGCATGTGCTAGCTACCCCTCAGAGTGCCAAAAGGTATTATAGAGACTCTCACTCAAGTGTGGACCCTATGTACAACCAAACCAGCCAGCAAGGCAAGAGGAGCCTGCTGGTACCATAGTGGCAAGCAACCAATCTCTGATTTTATATGACTTGGACTCCACAGGATCCATACCTGTCCCAATCAAAAGCCTCTACCCAAGTAGACTATGGGCCCTGTTGGGGAAATCTACTGCTGCTGATTTGCTAAGTAGACACGGTGTACCCATAGCATTCTCTTCTAAATAACTATATGTGTGCTCATAGACAAGTGTTGCTGCCAGTTCTGTTTAGAGAAACTCCCCTGCCCACCCAGACATACTGTGGTCAACAGTGGCCAAGGAGACTCATAACCAGCCAAAGTCCTAAGAATCAGTGAGTTCTGAATGCTTAAGCCACACAGGGGACAACTGTAGCAACACTTGAAGATGTGAGGAATATCGCAGAGGGGGAGTGGTACGTAACACCGATTTCTTGGCATGGTGTGGCTGTTACACCCCTGAACCCACACGTGTGATTTCTGAGGCAAGATCTACATATGATTTCATGCTTCAGAATCCCATCATGGAAGGGGTATGGTCCACGGGGTCCTCATCCTTCCTGAAGGATGATGATGGGTGATGGGAGGTGAGAGACATTTTCTTCAGTGGTGGTACCATTGGGCAGATGACTATACTCCCTCTGGGCATCCCTAAGAAAGCTAATCAGGCAACAACAACAAAAGTATGAAAATTAAGAGTTAGTTGGGAAGAGAACAGGGATTAACCAGACTAGGAAGGGGACAAGTGAGGGTAATGAAGGCTAGCGGTCAATATGATCAAAATACATTTCATACAAATGTGAAAACACACTAATAGAACCCATTATCATATAGAATTACTATATGCTGGGGCCAGAGAGACGGCTTAGCTGTTAAGAGCACTGTCGGCTCTCCCTGAAGACCCAGGTTTAATTCTCAGCACCCACATGGTGACTCACAACTGTCTGTAAGTCCATTTCCAGGGAATCTGACACCCTCGCACAGACATACATGCAGGCAAAATGCCAATGCACATAAAAATAAGTAAATCATTTAAAAAGAGCTAATATATGCTAACAACAACATTCTTTAAAAAGTAATACATAAAAAGTACTGGGTCTTTAAGAGATCAAACTCCCATTTTTTTATTTTTTATTTTTTATTTTTTTACTATGAGGTGATAAACTAGTTTGGGCAGGAAATTTTATTTATTAAATTTTTATAACTCTGAGGAAAACAGGCCTACAGTGACCTTTCTCTTCTTGCATCATAATAAAAGTCTTTGGAGCCTTCTCTGCCGGGACATTCAGGATGCCCTTTGGTATATGGAAATTCACAGCCCCGTCCATGCCTCCGCCTGTGACATTCCCACCAGGCAATAACATTTCCCTCTGAGATTTTTCTAAGATCTGAACTGGCAGTGCTCACCCAGTATGAAGACCAAACTGCTGAACCAGCCAACCAGTCTACATTCTATTAGACATCTTCCCCATTCCCCATTGTCCTTAAAAGCCATGACGGAAATGACACAACAAAAGAGTCAGTTTGCAAGTTTAGGAGCTATTTGTTCCAAAGTCTGACAAAACAATTCGACCTGATTTATGTCATAAACAGACTGAACCAAGCCGATAAAACTTCTACAT